ACAATATCCCTAGTACCACGGCCCCTTCTAAACCCAGCCTGGACTTCTGGTAGTTCTCTGCTGATGTGCTGTTCCAGTCGTTTTTGGATAATCTTGCTTGCATGTGAAATCAATGATATTGTTCTGTAGTTTCCACACTCTGTTGGGTCACCTTTCTTTGGAATGTAAGATAGAAAATATATAATAATTTAAATTTGAAAGCTTATGATAAGAATTCATTTGATAAAAGTTTAATCTGGCTGATTAAACATTAAAAACCAAATGTTTGCTTCCTGTTTTACGCTTCTGCATTGCCATAGTTGTATTTCTCACACAGATAGTGTTGGAATTGAAATGAAAAAATATTTAAAATGGTGGGAAAGTTGGTTTAACAGCGAAATTTATTATTTATAACCATAAACAGTAAAGTAAACTGAGTACAACGGCTGTCAGGGTCTAGGGTGATGGAATGAACTTGTTACCCTGACGATGTGAAAGGAGCCATCCCTTCCCACAAATTAGACTGTGCATATCTGGTAAGTCTCCTCTGGTGGCTGAGTCTTCAGCTAATAATAACAAATAGTGTTTTGGACATCACTTTCTCTACTAGGTTTGAATTTGGAGTGAAAGGAACCAGAAGACTTGCTTTGCATTGAACACTAGGCTAGCCACTCAGATGTGTGTGGTTTCCTGAAAGGGAGATCACGTGTCAATGTTCAGTGACTTGTTTACTATCAGAGTCAGAAGAAACCAGTAATTCCATTCATCTTTTTGGATCCTGGTACAACATTCTATATCACTCCTATGTTATGCATACATACCGTTTATGCACTTTCATATATTATTGTATAGCCAAGCTTAATCTTCTTCTATACCTTTTTAACTCCTGAGAAGAGTAGAGCAATGTTATGTGCAAAGCTGTACCCAGAAGAGTGGTGTGTGCATGTCACCTTATAAATGAAACCAGTATGTTTGCTAAAGTGGAATTGCTCATACTTAGAATTAAGTCAAATGTTTTCCTTTCTTTTCAAAAGGCTCAGTTTTCCCCATTTCTCTACTATCAAAGTCAAGAACTGCCCAATGGTTCTATCAAGGAGCCAGCTAGCCCTACTCCTGCTCCCCTGGAGGAGGCCCCAAGCTCAGATCCTGAGGAGGAAGCGCATCATAAGCCCAAGCTCTGCAGGCTGCTCAAAGGTGAAAACGGCTATGGCTTTCACTTAAATGCCATCCGGGACCTGCCAGGCTCTTTCGCAAAAGAGGTATGGTAATCGTGTTTCAGCAACCACGTTATGGTGGGTAGCAGGAGGACACAATTAGAAATTTCTCCCACCCACTGATAACAGGCTTAGTAAAAAGGTTATTTTGGGGCACCTAGTCATGTTTGATCTTTGGTTCACTGGAACACTGTCAGGGGTGTGTACCCTTTATCTGGCCACTAGTACATGCCACGTTTACATCTTTGCTTCCCATTTGTGCTATCTACTTCTCTATCTAGATATTTTCAAATCAAATAGGTTCTAGCTGACAGTCAGTATCAACTCTAGTGAGAGAGATGCTTATTTATTCTCCATTTGAGTTCCCTCCCCTCCCCTGCAGGGTTTGACAGAGGTAGTCAAGCTGGGAGTGAAAACGGGCTTAAAAATCCAATGTCTGCATCCCAGAAGACACATAGTGATATTCGCCTACTGCCACACTCCTCATTTTAGTATGTAAATTAGCATTAGAACACCTTTCTTCAGTACCTCAAGGGAAAATAAAATGCTTAAGAGTAAATTGTCAGACTAACTTTTATCTATTCCCTGAAGGGGGCTGGCTTAACATATGTCCGTACCTCTGTTCACAGGTAAAGAAGGGCGGCCCTGCGGACCTGGCTGGACTGGAAGACGAGGATATCATCATTGAGGTGAACGGGGTGAACGTGCAGGATGAACCCTATGAGAAGGTGGTGGAAAGAATCCAGAGCAGTGGGAAGAACGTCATACTTTTAGTCTGTGGAAAGAAGGCCTATGACTACTTCCAGGCTAAGAAAATGCCTATCGTTTCCTCCATGGCTGATCCACTGGATGCTCCCCCCGATTCCAAAGAAGAAACACCGGCAGAGACAGAGCTTGACTCTCATACAACCAAAGAACGAGTAAGCAGTGATGTGTTTCTTTACATGATCTAACTCACCAGAGTAAGGGAAAGCCCTGAGTGGACCTCCTGTCTGTTAACCACAGGTTTCCTTAAGGACTAAAAAAATGACGATGATAATGATAAAATTGACATGTGAGGAAGTAAGGGCAACACGTTTCTTTCTATAGCATGAGGTTGACAGTTAACTGTCTAGAGTTGTTAAGTCAAAATGTAAGAAATTTTTCCAAATTAGCAGAAGAACAAGAATCAGACTATCTAGGAACAGATTTAATTCTGTCTCTGTAGAGTTGGGTAAATGAATGTACTCTGTACTGTAGTTTCTCTATCTACAGAACAGGCATAATTTATAGGGCTGTTAGGAGGATTATAGCAATACTACTATTAGAGTGTTCAGAATGGTTTACAGTAAATGATGGTGGTTAGAGATAGTATTTTTAATTTAAAGTTTTAATATCAAGAAAGCCTAAATGTTACTTTAAATAAATTTAGACTATATAAATTTTTCAGACTTGGAAGCAGGAGTGGCATCCACTTCCGCAATAGCTTGCCTCCAGAAACTCTATGAATTTAGAGATAACGATGAAAGTTATGTAAGTGTTCAGGTCTTTCGTTGATAGGGTTGCTATGAGTTGTCTAAGACTCGACAGCATTTAACAACAACAAAATTCTTCAGTAAATGTCAGTTTTACATTTTTATCCAGTTTCTTTTCATAGATAAATTGGTTGTTCAAAAGTTATCTTATTCAAGCTCATAAAGATTTTGTTATAGTTACGTCTCTGAAAACATAATATTTTAACTATATTGTTCTTGTTATGTGTTGTTGAGTCACTTGCGACTCATAGCGACCCTATGTACAAGAGCCCTAAACCCTGCTCTTTCCTGTGCCAACCTCACTATCTTTTACACATCAACTCCCATTACCCCAATCACTGAATCGATGCATCTCATTGAGGGTCTTCCTCTTTTGCTCTGTCGTTCCACTCTCCCAAACATGATGTCAAGGACTGGTCCCTCCTTGCAACATGTCCAAAGGATGTCAGATGAAGCTTCAGAATCCTTGTCTCCAAGGAGCAGGCCGGCTTCACTCTCTCCAGAACAAACCAGTTTGTTCTCCTGGCAGTCCATGGTATATTCAACACTCTTTTCCAGTACCCCAGCTCAAAGGCATCAATTACGTATCATCCCTAGTCACTGTCCAGCTCTCCGATGCACAGCATGTAATTGCTATATTAATTAACTATATTAGTGATATATCAATTTAACCATATTGGTGATATAATACATTGATTTTTATGAAGGTATATACTAGTCACTGACCTTATGTTTTATTTTGAATGAAATTTTTTTTTTCTCTAAGCACACTCTCCACTTAAACTCCTTTGTTTTCTTTCTCATAGGCCCCCAGTCCCAGCTCTCATTCTTCCTCCAATTCTGAAGACACAGTGATGTGAGAAGAACAAATGATTGACACTGGCTGGTGGCCCTTTCTGGTCTTTAACAGGAATCTGCTCTCAAGGAATGAGCTGCCACTTGCTTCCTGTCTGTCAGAGAACTCCTCTGGAGACTAGTTCTTGTGTGATTGTTTTCTGTTATTTGCTTTAGGGGCAATTGGTTATTTATGTTTAACTTAGAAAAAGCTAAGACAGGAGTTAACTTTTTAGTGATCTTTCAAATTTCAATGCAATGACTTTCTCTGTATGATGATACCTCTCGTGGCTATAGGCTCCTTGAGCACCAAAGATAATTTATAAATCGATATATGTGAAAGCTAATTAAAGTCTCTGAGCAAATAAGCCATATTAAATGAACATTTTGCTTTGGTAAGAATGTTGAGGTTGCTAGAATAAATATTATTAAAAAATACCCTTTGCCTACCCATGAACCTTTTCTTAGCTGTTTTGAGGTCATTAATGTTTTTGGTAAGATTGAAATGCTTTACTCTTCATTTATTCTAATGTTTTTACAAACCCAAAACAATAAAATACAGAACGGAACCTTAGTAATAAAAGTTTTCCCAGTAATAAAGGTCAAGATTTTCTTAGGTTGCATTCTTAAGTTTCTTCTGGCAGTCTCTCTTTCAGTTGTGTATTCCTCCTAGCCCTGAACAGAATAGCTAATTTCTTGTTTATTTTAATGGTGCAGAGAGTGGGGAAGACAGGAATGGTGTGGCAACTCCGTTAAGATTGTGTAAGCATAACATGTACTTCAGTGTGCCTGATAAACGGAATGTCAGGATCTTAAAACAACAGGCCAGAGCATTACAATCTCTCATTTTAATAGCAGTCAAACTCCAGGGAAAGTCATGACCATCTCCACTTTAACTCTGATTTAAAACAAAATACTTTGTGCTTGGCCCAGCTAACTTAGACTTCTTGTTATGTGAGTTCCAGTGTATTTTTCCTAGTTCTTGGCTTTTGTCCCCTCACACAGCCTCAAACTTACATAGGCTGCTTTGAGCCAAGGACTGCCTTGAGTTAATGCTTTTCTGTTTAAGGTGATGCAATTCATCCCTGTATCAAAAGGAGGAGAGTATAAAATATGCTACCACAGTTATTTTCTTCTTGTTTAAATAATCCTGGTCCCCTCCACTTTTCTTAGCTAAATTCTTGACACCACTGGATTTTAGCAGTCTGTGAAAGGCATGAGTTCAAGGTGTCATGTGCTTTTCTGGTGCCTGTTTGTGAGCCAAATAGAGGAACAGTATGCTGGAGAGAGCGCTGACGAGGAAGATGACATCAAACCAGCGGTGATAGAAGTTGAACTGTAGTTCTCCAAGAACTTCAGTGATAATGGTGCGATATTCTAGAGGCATACTCATTCGGATCAGAAGTACAGAGGAGACAAAATACATGCCCTGTAAGTAAAACAAATTAGGAAGTCACTCTGGAGTGATGGGTAGATCAAAGGACATTGTTAAGATATTTAAAAGAAAAATAATGCTGGTATTTTGTATCCATAAGCACACACTCAGTTCATCAGACTTACCATTATCTGTGCTAATAGCAAGACGATGACATTGGAGGACTTACTGCTGGAGATGGCATAGAAGAACTGAGGAAAGAGGAGAGAGAAATCTATGCAGTGAGTGCTGTTACATTCCGATGTGAGGAACAATGACCTGCTAATCCCTGACTGGAAAGGTTTCTTTCAATGCCACCATCTGTGCAGAAAAACTCACTATGAAGGCTATGAAGAAGAGAACTAAAGGGACCAAAAAGGATCCTATTATAGCTTCCCCGTAGGGGTGTTTTTAAGCATTAATAACTACAACACTTTAAAGGATTCCTAACAAACTTTGTATTATGTGATGCATATGATTTTAACATCGCTGTAAACATTACAGTAGATCCCAGGTCACTTTGAACTTTTGTAATTGTTACTAGCTACTACACCTTGCAAAACTGGGGAAGACGCCTGGAGATTTTTTTCCTCCTAACCCCTTCTTTCATGTAAACAGCTCTTAGATATGGAAATCTCTACTTCTATCTGAAAAGCTTTTACCTTCTACCTCCAGGAAGCACTTATGTTGATCAGAGAGCAACTGTTGTTTTAACTACGTCTATGTCCTTTTCACAAATGACTCTCATAGTTATTCCTCAATCTTCTCTCTCATTTATCCCAAATATCTGCGATGTGAGTGCTACGTTCTAAGTGCTGATCACATGGCACTGAATAAAACACACTGATTTCACTATTACCTCTGGTAAACAAACTTAACTGTAATTGACATATGCTGTAAAGATATAAATTCATTTAACTCTTAAAAACTGCTGTATGCTTTAGATATTTTACTACCTAACACCTATCTCAGGTTTTCTAAGGCCCCAGAGGACAGAATCCTACTTAGGTAAAAAGATCTCATGAGTAATTGAGTGATAAGTACTTTTTGACATTGTGGCACATTATACCTTGGTGAGAGTGATCAGCAGTCCTCTGATGGATGTAACAATGATGATTCCAACCAGAATGAAGGAGATGTGTTGGGACCAAAACTTCACCTGCCACCATTATGGAAAGGAAAAAGTAGCTGTTAAAATTCTGTATAGAGATAGGTGATCACCTATGTTACTGGGAACAGGGATTTCATTGTTGTTGCTAAGATGTTATTGAATCGGGCCTCGACTCATTGGGCTTTAGTTCAGGTTTTTTATCCCCCACGTTGGGAGGGAAGGGATAATTGCAAGTAAGTGCTGACTAAAACAGCGACAGGAAGACTGCAGCAGATATCATCATTAGCAGACTGAAGGACAGAAGACGTTAAGTGCAGTGAGGTGATGAAAACAGTACTAATAAACCAGCAGAAACACAAGAGTTAATGATACAGCCTCAATGCCAAAAGAAAGTCAGGAATTAAAAGGGAACTCAGAAGCTTGATTATTTTTACTATTTGTGCATGAAAATCTTTTTAATACCCAAAATGTGAAGGGTTTTTTTGTTTTGTTTTTGGTTGGGATTTTTTTTGTTTGTTTCATAATTGAAGAGTCTATAAATGTTCTGTTAAGTTCCAGGAAATAGCTGATATTCATTTGAACTGTATGATCTATTTACACTGCTTCATAATGAGAACCAGCTCTGACACTCTGTGCTTAATTCAGGTCTGAAAAGTGTCTAAAGCTTTAAGTCATTTCAACTCCACAGGCATGAGTGACTGAGCGAATTGATGCCCTTGAGCTGTGCTGCTCAATCTCCCACAAATGGCTGAAACACAAGCAAATCTATCCTGGAGCATGTGCGACCAGAGTGCTGCTAAGAGCCTGGACAGTGGTCCCTGTCTCACATACTCTGGGCATGTTGTCAGGAGGGGCCAATCCTTGGAAAAAGGCATCAGGCAGGGAAAGATAGAGGGTCAGTGAAAGAGAGGAAGCCCTTCAAAAAGATGAACTGACAGAGTGACAATGGACTTGAGATGTCTAAGATCATGATGGTACCATCATGACAGCAAGGTCAGATCTGTGCTCACTGCTATGACTCGCCCGCACCTGACAACAACAACAACAACAACAGAAGGTCTGTCATGTAAAATATGGAATATATATATACCTGAGTTCTGGATAAAAATATATATACAGTCACAGCAACTAAGTAGTCTCAGACATACATAATAGTGAGGTATTAACCTAAATGTACTACTGTCAGGTTGATTCTGATTCATAACGACCCTCCTTTGGGTTTCTTTACCAGAGAAGATTGCCAATGTTCCTCCCAAGGAGCAGCTGGTGGATTAAAGATCATGTTTTGTGATTAAAAACATGAATTAAGTAGAATCCTTAAAACTTTGTACACAGGAGGTAGTTACTACCTTTAACTCAAAGCTCACATTTCATTATTACATAGTTCATAAAGATTATTTTTTACAGCTGAAATGATGTCTGTTTTACCATGGAACATTAATTAGTAGTTAATTTTCTACTAGAGGAACCAGATGTTAGTGGTGTATGTGTGAAGATTGAAAGTATCACATATCAGAGGCATCGGTGTGAGGAAGGAAGTGGTGAAGCCAAGCTCCTCTGAAGCTGGCTGCAGAGAAGCAACTACAGAAAACATCAGCGTTTGGAACAAGAATACAGACTAAGCACGACTTATGAGAATCCTAGCTCTTCTAGACTTGCCATGTCCAAAAAAAAAAATAAAAATGGAAAGATAGTACATGAAACATAACAAAACTTGATATAGCTCTTACATCAAATTGGATTCCCAGATAGTTCACAGTGATCTCAATGCCTCTTGTGACAGGATCAGTTTTTCCAACTCGGTCAAAGACAATATTGATGGTTGCCTGCAAAGACACATGTCTTTATATTAGAACAACTTAATCATCACCTGTGGAAATGCTATGAACAGGAATGTGGGCAGCTACAGTATTAGACATAGAGCCCAAATAGGTAGTCACTCAGGATGAGTGAAAACACCCTTTAATAACTGGAGCATGGAATGTATGAAGCATGAATGTTAAAAATCTAGAAGTTAAAACTGAAATAGAATGCATGATGATTGACATTCTAGGCATTAGCGAGATGAGACAGACTAGCTTTGGCCATTTTGAATCAGATAATCACACGGTATACTATACTGGAAATGAAAAACAAAAAAAGATGGTGTTCCATTCATAGTTTAAAAGACAATTTCAAGTTCTATCCTAAGTACAGTGTTGTAATTGGACATTATCCATATGCATACAGGGGAAGACTTGATCCCAGAACACTTGATTGTGCTCATGCAAAACTTATACTTGGACCAGGAAGCAGTCCTCAGAACAGAGCAGGGAAACACTGCATGGTTCAAAATCAGGAAGGAAATGCATCAGGGATGCTTCCTATCTCCATACCTTTTCAATCTCTATAAAGAAGTGATCATTCGGGAGGGTTGGCTTTATGAGGAGGAATGTGGCATCAGAATTGGAGGAAGATTGATCAACAACCTGCATAATGCAGATGACACAACCCTACTTGCTGAAACTGAGGCAGACCTGAAGTGCTTATTGCAGAAGGTCAAGGACTGCAGTCTTCAATACGGATTGAAGCTCAACATTAAGAAGACAGATTCTCACTACTGGGCCAGTTGACAGCACCATGATGACAGAGAAAAGATTGACGTTTTTAATAGTTATAGCTCGCTTGGCTCCACAATCACACTCTTGGTAACAGCAGTCAGGAAATCAAAAGATGAATTGCATTACATAAATCTCCTGTCAGGGACCTCTCCAGAGTATTGAGAAGCAATGATGTTGTATATATTGAGGTGTGCCTAATCTAGGTCATGGTGTTTGCAATTGCTTCTATGCATCAGAGAACTAGACAATAACTAAGGATGATAGAATTGATGCCTTTGAGTTATTATGCTGGAGAAGAGTCCTGAACATACCATGGACATCAAGAAAACAGTCTGTCTTGGAGAGGGTGAAACCAAGTTCCTCCTTGGAGGCTAGGATTTTGAAGCTCCATCTCATATATTTTGGGCATGTGGCCAGAAGGGACTGCTCCTTGGGAGAAGGACATTATGCTAGGAAGGGTAGAGGAGCAGCACTAGAGAGGAAGACCCCAGATAAGATGGATTGATACAATAACTAGGGCAATGGGGGTAGGTGTGTCGGAGTCAGTGAGACTGGCTCAGGACCGGGCAGACTTCAGAGCTGCTGTACACAGGGATGCTATGAGTCGCAGGTGACTTGATGCACATAACAACATACAAGGAAGACCTGCTAATGACTTTTAGTCAAATATATGCTCCTACAGCTAAAGTCAGAGAGGAGGTACTGAGGATTTCTATCAACTTCTGCAGCCCCCAACTGAGCAAACATACAATCAAGATACATTAATGATAATTGGTAACTTGAATGCAAAAGCTGGAAACAAAGGAGGAATGGTAGTTGGGAAAGTACTGAATTGGTGACAGAAATGAAGCGGGAGAGAAAATGATTGAATTTTATGCTTTCAAAGATTGATTCATAGCAAATACCTTTTTAAAAACGTGGCAATTTTACACTTGGACCTTACCTAATGGGCTACATTGGAATCAGACTGACTACATCTGTGAAGGAACTGTGGGAAGAGTGCAATCTCTGCAGTCAAAATCAGACCAGATTGTGGAAGAAATCAACTACTCATGTGCAAGTTTAAACTGAAGCAGAAGAAAGTGAGCACAAGTCGGCATGAACCAAAATATGACTGTAAATCTATGCCAGTTGAATTTAAAAATCAACTCAAGAACAGGTTTGAGGCACTGAACACCAATGAGTGAAGACCAGAGAAACTATGGGGGAACATCAAAGATATCATCCAGGAAGACAGCAAAAGGTCATTAAAAAGGCAGGAAAAAAAAAACCCAAAACCCACAAACTCAACCAAACTTGATGTCCAAGAAGAGGTCTCTCTCTCTGTATTTCCTTCCTAGGAGGGAGATCCATCCTTTTGGGGAGTGTAACTTTCTAACAAATCTTTACTATTTTATCCTTTTAATAAAAGGGCCAATAAAAACTTTATTAGAGCATTGAGAAGACAAAACAAAAGGAAGAGATGCCAAAGCAAAAGAGCTGAACAGAAGATTTCAGAGGACACTTCAAGAAGATAAAGCAAAATATTATAATGAAATGTGCAGAGAGCTGAAGCAGAGACTAAAAAGAGAAGAACCCACTTGGCATTTCTCAAGCTGAAAGAACTGAAAAACAAATTCAAGTTTGAGTTGCAGACTGAGAGATGCTATGAGAACAATTGTGAATGATCCAGGAAGCATCAAAAGAAGATGGAAGGAATACAGAATTGCTGTACCAAAAATAATTGGTTGACACTGCAAAATTGCAGGAAGTACGAGCCAATGCCAACAAAGGATGAAGTTCAAGCACTGAGGGCATTAGCATAATAATACGGTCCCAGGAATCAACGTGATACTATCTGGTATGTTTCAACTAACAGATGCAGCTCTGAATGTGCTCGCCAGTTTATGCCAGGAAACGTGGAGGACAGCTATCTAGTCAACTGACTGGAAGACACCATATTTGTCCCCATTCCCAAGAAAGGTGATCCAGCAGAATGTGGAAATTATTAAACAACATCTTTAATCTCACAGGCAAGCAAAATCCTGCTGAAGATCATTAAAAAATGGCTAGAACAGCACATAGATAAAGAACTTCCAGAATTTCAAGCAGAATTTAGAAAAGGCCACGGCACCAAGGATATCACTGCTGGTGACCGAAGGATCCTGGATGAAAGTAAAGAATACCAGAAGAAAGTCTGTGTTTTATTGGTTGTGCAAAGGCAATTGACTGTGGGGATAACAAATTATGGCTAACACTGAGAAGAGTGGGAATTGCAGAACACTTAATTGTTCTCATGTGAAACCTGTATCCAGACCAAGAGGCTGTTGTATGAACAGAGCAAGGAACACTGCATGGTACAAAATTAAGAAAGGAGTTTGTCAGGGTTGCATCCTTTCTCCACATTTACGTAGCCTGTATGGTGAACAATCAATTCAACAAGCTGGACTCTATGAGGAAGACTGTAGCATCATGATGAGAGGAAGACTTATCAGTCACTTTCGTTATGCAGATGACACACTCTGCTAGCTCAAAGTGAGGAGGACTTGAGGTACTTGCTGCAGATGATCAAGGACAACAGCCTTTAGTATGGATTACATCTCAACATCAGGAAAACGAAAGTCTTTGTTTCAGGATCAACAGTCAACATAATGATAGACGGAGAAAGGATTTAAGCAGTCAATTATTTAATCTTCCTTAGATCAACAATCAAGTCAATTATTTCATCTTCCTTAGATCAACAATCAAAACCGTTGGTACCAGCAGTCTGTTGGTACCAGCAGTCAAGGACGACTCATAGTGACCATATGAACAGCCAGTCTGAACCCTGCCATCCTCACCATCTCTGAAACACTCGAGCCCATTGCTGAAGTCACTGTCTCAATCCCTCTCTTTGGGGAGTCTTCCTCTCCCTCTCCTTTGCTCACCCCCCCGCATCTTTTTAAGCATGAATAATTAGAAATTGAAATTATAAAAATATTACATTTATAGTAGTAACAAGAATTTGAACTATTATTGAAAACTGTGACAAAAGATGTGAAAGCCCTATACATTAAAAACCATAGCACACTGTTGCGAAAAAAAAAAAAAAAAAAAGGCAGATCCAAACAAATGAAGAGCTATATTTCAAGTTCATGGATTGGAAAACTCAATTCTATTAGGAAACCACTTTTCTACAAATTGGTCTAGCAATTCAATAGACTCTAAATACTGTAAGATTTCTGTAGGAATTAATAAACTGATTCTATCTAATGCAATGAAATAGAATAGTCAAAACAAGTTTGTTTCCTCTGATCCTGATACTATATTCTTCTTCATATGGTTCAACTTCTTGAATCCTTTGCTCAGCATACATACTGAATAGGCATGAAGAAAGAATACAATCCTGACACACCTTTCTTGTTTGTGTGTTGTATTTGGCTAACTTCTTATTGAGCTACGTATACGTTTTCCATGAGGACAATTAAGTTTTCTCAGATTTCGATCTTTCTCAATGTTAGCCATAATTTGTTATGATCTGTTGTTACATGCCATCAAGTTGCCTGCGACTCATAGTGACTCTATGTACAACAGCTCTAAACCCTGCCCTATCCAGAGTCTCAGTGTCTCCAACACCCCCTCTACCTCCATTACTTCAGTTACTGTATCAATCCATCACATTTGGGGTCTTCCTCTCCTACGCTGTTCCTCCACCCTTCCAAGCATGATGTTCTCCAAGGACTGGCCTCTCCTGGTCACGTGCCCAAAGTATGAGACAGAGCTTCAAAATCCCAACCTCCAAGGAGCAACGTGGTTTCACCCCCTCCAAGGCAGACCTGTTTGTTCAAGACTCTTCTCCAGCACCACAACTTAAAAAGACATTGATTCTTCTTCTGTCAGCCTTAATCACTCTCTAGCTCTTTGATGCATAGAAGCAGTGTGAAGACCATGGCCTGAATTAGGCACATGTTAGTTTCAAACTGACATCATTGTTTTTTAGCATTTTGGAGAGGTCTTTGACAGCAGATTTTCCTAATGCAATTCATCTTTTGATTTCTTGACTGCTGGTGCCAAGAGTGTTGACAGTGGAGCTAAGCAAGATAAATTGTTAACATTCTCAATCTCTTCCTCTATTATGGTGCTGTCAATTGGCCCAGTGGTGAGAATCTTTGATAGTTATGATCTACACAGTAAAAAAATCCTAAAAACAAAAAACAAACAAACAAATCCTTTTTGCATAGTCAATGAAACACAAGTAAACATCTTAC